CACCATTAATAATTCATCAAATCTCCCTCCCCTCCCCTTTCCACGAATTATATTATACATAGTTGGAATACAAGTATATGTAGTTTCTTGTATCCTGCATTTTTTTGTTTATTGTATTGCAAGGGTTTCTTCTATGTTGCTATTAATACATAGTCTTCATAGCTGTCATTTTTAGCAACTATACATGATTCCATTGACTTCAAGTATATATCAATAATTTACTTAACCATTCCCCTATTGAACAGTTATTTCCAAATGTTTACTTTTATGTCACCATAGTGAATGTGGACTATTTCCTTAGGTTTGGATCCCCAAAGTGGGTGGATTGAGTCTGAATTTAAAATTTGGTTTGTTCAGATTTTTCACTAATTCATAGTGGCCTGTCTTCTAGATTAGTCTTAAATTATTGAAGCTTAATCTTAATGACCATGAGACAGTCGGGGGCCCAGGGATGTATTCAGTAACCAAGTGGTCAGGAGGCTGCCTCCTCTGCAAAATGACCTTTCAGGGGTTCCTCGTGTTTCAGACTCAGAACAGAATATAAAACAGCAGTTTTCTCCGGTGCCCCTTTTGTACTGCAGCGCATGCACATGGCTGCCACTCACAAAAACCTTTTATTCCGTAGCCTTTGCCAACGAGGAAAGAAATGTACAGCGGCAGGGAGGTAATCACTATGTAACCCCCTGGTTTTTTTTTTTTCCTTTTGTAAGGACATCATCAACTAAGGATGGAAATGCATTTACAGTGTCTCTTTCCTGCTAAAGCAAACACAAGCAGCTTCATTTTCAGAAATGCAAAATTTACCAAGTTTATAAATGCTTCTTTGTTGACTGCAGCCGTGTGGTTTGGTCCCCGGAGTTATCTGAGATAGCGCAAATAAATCTGGCGGCCTCCAGTTGTCTCAAACTAAGCATTAGCTCCTTCCCCTGTTGTCTCCCTCCTTGCAGAATTTCCTCTTGGCCTTCGGCACAGACTCCCTCTTCTCATTAATATGCCCTGTTAACTGCTGCCAAACCTCTAGCAGTTTAGTGCATATGTTCCCTTAATCATTTCTCTTTGTTCTAGAAGTCTGTGTTTGGTTTCTGAACCGACCTTTTTCCTGCGCTCCCCGCTTCCACCGTCACCATCGCGGGCTACAGCGTATGACTGTCTACTGTCTACGTGTTTAAAGAACATCCTAGATTGCCTGCGATTTACAGAGCCTTTGCAATCTGCCCACAATGTGCTAAGTCATCCCCTCAACCCGCCCGATCCCCTCCTCACAGAGCCCTGGGCCTTTGGACCCCAGGTAAAGGGGTTGCTGGAACCCTCTGGAAATCAGAGGCTCCTGGAAGACAATGTTAACTCCCTGCATAGACAAAGACTCCTTCTTAGGATTTTCTGCCGGTCCAACACAAGAAAAGGACGCTTTATTCTTGGAGCCCAGGAGTGTATAGGCACACTCGATCTCAATGAGTTATTCATGGTGTCCAAGAGAAATACTTCTGGAGCTGTATTTCATGTGAGATGGAAGTAGGCCTGGCACAGGGGCGGCGAGGCCGGGAGTGCCCTGGGCCTCTTCCAGCTGCCGTGTGGGGAGACAGCTGTCCGAGCAGCTGAGCCCCTGCCCCACGCGGCCCGGGGTCTTCTTAACAAGTGGAAGGTCCTCTGGGCTCCTCCTGTCCTAACTGGGGCCTGCACACGCCAGCACGCAGAGCCCTGCGAGTCCTCAGTGCACAGGAGGACACTGTTGTTTTTCTCTGCTTTTATGTATTTTTTTTCTCTTGCCGAGTTCCAGCCATTTGCAAAGTTCCAGCCAGTCCCTCTAGCCCGGAGGGGAGGAGGATGAGCTTCTCAGAGCCCTTCTCCTCACAGCGGGCACTGTGGATCCCTGGAGATTTATTTTTGGAAACTTTAAGTTAATACAAAATACCATCTCTTCCTCATCCCTGGCCCTGCCGCTCTCCACCCTCAAAAAGAAAAGTATTGAAACTGCACGGAGACACGGGCACACCGTGAACGGTGTCTGCTCGGTACCCGGCCAGCAGCTGCGGGACCGAGGCGGGGACCCTGCCCTGATTCGGAGTCCAAACGTGTACAGCGCAGCTTGGAGGAACCCCTCAAAGTGGGGGGTTTGTGTGTTTCGTTTTTCCCTTTCCTTTTGTGGAAAGCGTGAACGCTGACTCGTTTGGGGGACATGTAGGGCACTGTTCTACCTGTCCCCCAAAGGGACGTTTGTATTCTTTTAAATGGAACCATTTTAACAGCGGAACTGAAGCCTAAAATGATGCAGGGTTCTCTCGAGTTCTCAGAGGTGTAGATTTATTTACTATAGTTAAATCATAATTAGTTCTCAGGGGATAGTGTATCTTTTAAACGGCTTTATTGCCACCATATTGGTTTTCTGAATAATCAGAAACTTCTGTTATAATTGTGTCCTAGTGTTCAAACAGAAATGCACCGTAAGTAGAAACAAATGTCAGGAATTGCTAGTTGTCACTTGAAGAAGGTACACACAGAGGGGTGGGGGAAGAGAGAACTCGAAAGGCTATTCTGATGAAATGTAGCCTGAGTCTTAAGTAAACTGAGTAACAGCTCAGGCGCAGGTACGCGTGCCCGTCCCGCATGCTCTTTTTTGGTACTAAATGGTGGTTTTTTCATCCCTTTTCATTCTCACTTCAGAGACTAGGAAGGAGGGTAGTGCCCTTCCTGGCTCTGCATTTGTACAGATCGTAGAAACCCGAAGTCGGCCTTCCTTGGCGGCATGTTTGCAGACACTGTCTCTCTGTGAGCCGTTGCTTCCGTTCTGGCTGACTGGTCTTTCCCACCGTCCGCAGGTTGATGTTTGAGATGCCGCAGGAAATGGGATTAATAGCGATCGCAGTCCGGCAGACCCAGGGCAAAGGTCAGTCATCTTTCGCTATCATTGCTGTTACTTTTCTTTTCGGAAATCTGTGGCTCTCCTGGCCAGAGAGCCCATCGAGTGTGTATGCTGACCATCAAGACGACACAACGGTTGGAAGTTGTTTCTGTTTTCATAACTGCCCGAAACGGAAGAAGAGGGAAGGAAGCGGTGATCGGAAGATTTAGCCTTAGTAGAATCAGATCATTCTCTCAAATTGTGACGTGTCTTAATCATATGACATCGGCCTGTGATGGCTTTAACATTCGGTTACCCACATCTCGTAAATTCTGGGCTCTGCAGTTTGTGAATCTAGAGACGTTTATTTTCCTGAACGTTCTGAGTGAGGTGCCTTCTGTGTCTCTACTCAGTGTCACATGGAGGGGCCTTGCACACGCCAGACCCCATCCCAGCTGGCCCTGGAATTCGCATGTAGGTAGCGGGCACTCCATCAGTGCCCGTTCACAGAGTGACCACGAAGGAGCAGGGCGCAGCTCAGAGCTCACACCGGTGGTCCCGGGGGCGAGAGCCACGTCCTCCCAGAACCCATCTGGGGTCTGGCCCTGCGTGGGTTCCCTGCCCGGTGTCTGTGCGGGAGGCTCTTGAGGAGGCCCGGCCCCTCCCCAGCCGGCGCCGGGCTGACCCAGATGTGCTTTTAACTCTCAGAGGCTCTTACGACTTTCTCAGAAGAAGCAAAGAAATAAGGAATCTACTGTTTCCCACTTCTTTCTCTTAAATGTGTCTTTTGAACATAACTCAAAAGAAAAAAAATTCATTTTCTCAAAAGCTGTGGGTCTCAATATAGAGACTAATAAAAAGACATTGTAGGAAGAATGTTGATTAACGCTGTCATTTTGATTATTTTATTTTCTTAACTTCAATGTTAAGAAAAGTAACAACACAGAGTTAATATCAGGGATCACTCTTTTTTTATCAGCTTTATTGAGATATCATAACGCACACACCATGCAGTTCCTCCATCTAGAGCACACAGCCCCGTGGTTGTTAGCGTATTTGCTGGGTTGCGCGACTGTCACAACAGTGGGGAGCTCCGCTAAACAGTGGCTCCCAGGACCTCATGGATCCGCATAAAGTCAGTCTAGTTTCCCGGTGCCTCTATTTTGCCTCCATAACCATCTGGTGAGAATTAAATTTATAGTCACGTTCAGACACTGTGAGATTGTGAATCGTCAAAGCATAAATGATGCACTCCCGGAAGCAGAACGTCGTGCTAATTATCAGAACCTTTTCCAGCAGCAGAGCTTCAGACTTTAAAAAGCTTTTCTTTTATGGAGTTAACCTCCGAATATCCAAGCATTTTACTAAGTGCTGGCTTATTTAAGTAAAACATCTTTTCAGTGTGGCCCTGGCACTGCTGTTTGTCTGTGTCTGTCTACGTGGTGAGGCAGCGGGTTTCCCAACGGGGCCTGTGTTCCAGGGCGGGGAAGGAACGCGTGGCTGAGCCCCGTGGGATGCGCGATTTCTACTCTGCTCATCTCCATCCCACTGAGATCCCAGCTGGGTCAGAGGATTCCGTTTGTCCAGCATCTGATGTCCTTGGCTGTCGTGGAAGCAGTAAGGTCCATTCCTGAGTATCAGGTACGTACACCTTCATTTCCCTCTCCGTGCCTGTTAGGCATGCAGGGTCGGCTTGGTTTTGTTTGTAGCACGTGTTTGTGTGATTGGTGGATGTAGAGCCTCAGCCTGCCCTTTGCAAAGCTGGCAGCAAAATGCTCTTGGAGTTTCAAGTGCTGTTGCTGCTCCAGGCCTGCAGAATGCATTTATGGTCCAGCATTCCACACGCTATGCCTGTTCCCGTCCAGTTTGTCAGATTTCTCAAGCATCCTAGTAAGGGCGAGGTTTTGTTTGTTTGTTGTTTGAAGCATTAGATGAGATTTGATTGTTGGACTGGACAGGAGCTATTTGTCTGCGTTTCCTGTTGAAAGGGGTTATTTTTTGGACCTAAAAATACCTTCTCATTTCCTACCTCCATGGACCGCAGTCTGTGCTCGGCAGAGTTCAACGTCCAGGTTCTTTTGGGAACATCTTCCCCCAGCTGTTAGGACAGATGTGCCTGCTTCACTATTACTTTTGGATGCTTTGTCATCCATCGTCAAAAAGACGAGAGAAGGCCGGGCACGGTGGCTCACGCCTGTAATCCTAGCACTCTGGGAGGCCGAGGCGGGCGGATTGTTTGAGCTCAGGAGTTCGAAACCAGCCTGAGCAAGAGCAAGACCCCGTCTCTACTAAAAATAGAAAGAAATTAATTGGACAACTAAAAATATATAGAAAAAATTAGCCAGGCATGGTGGCACATGCCTGTAGTCCCAGCTACTCGGGAGGCTGAGGCAGAAGGATTGCTTGAGCCCAGGAGTCTAAGGTTGCTGTGAGCTAGGCTGACGCCACAGCACTCACTCTAGCCCGGGCAATAGAGTGAGACTCTGTCTCCAAAAAAAAAAAAAAAACGACGAGAGAAAACAGCACAGTGACCGAAGCCGTTTCTTGCATATGTCCCTCCTAAATGCTCGTGGAGGAAGTTCAAACAGCTGTGAAAGGAGATGCCTCCCCTGCCTCCCTCCCACCCACAGCTCCAATGTCAAGCTAAAAATAAATGATCATGTTGATCCCTGAGGCAGAGTGTTAAGAGTATGACTCTCAAAGAAGACTCAGAGGTCCTGTTGTCATTGTTTACATGACGAAACAGTCCTCAAACCCCTCTCCGACGCGGCCGTGCGTGTACCCACCGTGTGTAGATCTTCTCCAGTCTGTGTTTCCCGTGTTACGTCCCATGAGCACCGTGGACATTGTTACCAGGCGCCCAGCATCCTTGCTTTGTCTGGTGAGTTTGGGGCTGATCAGACTATTACAAGCCTGCAGGTGCCCCGTCTGCGGCACCTGAGCTGTAGCTGGCTCAGAGAATGCAGTCGTGGATGCAGAATTCTGTCGTGAGAGAAACTATTTTTGACTCTGGCAACAGGCTAATTAGTCTTAGGAAAATAAGTAAAGTACTGAGCCTGGAGGGTTAGATGAGTCTGCTTAGGTTTTTTTCTCGGCTTTGATTTTGACCTTGCAGCCTCGCTAGCTAACTTAGGAGCATTCCTTGAGGGCCTCGCAGAGCATGGGGCGGGGGACTTGTGTTCCGTTCTCCTTAAGACGCTCCCACCAAAGTTCTCCTCCTTCGCTAGTCGGCTGCCTCAGCCTCACCTGCACGATGGTACTATGGTTTTGAATTGGATTTGTTTTTCCCATAGCACAGTTAGCTTGCATCGTACAGCCACTAGATGGTTGAAACAGGCCCCAATTGTGTGGCATTCGCTTTTCTTATGACCTTCACTAGAGCCCCAACTTGTCCCTAGCCAGATGTCACCGTCAGCACACAAATCACGTCCACCATCCATCCCTAAACCCGACACGGCATCACCCAGACACTCACCGTTCCTTCCAGAGCCCGCCTCGGGCTGCCTGTTCCCGCTCCTGCTGTTCCTTCTGTCCGTGAAGTCCTCCCGACTCCTGGAGCACCCTCCCTTCACCCACACACCCACACACCCCTTCTCCCACCCTCTTCTCTGCTTCCCGAAATGCTGTTCTTCCTTTGAGGCTCAGCTCCAATACCATTCCCTGAGTGCTCCAGCTGCTTCCAGCTCTTTCCTCCAACACAGTACAGCACTTGAAATGTCTAGACCTCCTTTATGATGCCGAGCACATGTGGCTTTGAAGCAGAGTGGCCTGTGCTTCTGTTCCATCTCCTGCAAAGTTACCAGCTCTGTAGAAACAGGATTCGTTTTACTTTGGCCGCCACGGTACTTACCATAGTGCTTTATACAAGGGAAGGTCGCAGCAGCTATTGGAATAAGTGATTGAGAAAATGAAAACTAAGTACATGGCCTTCTCCCTCATCTTAAAAGAGATGTTCTTGTTTACCTGTGTGAGAACCCAAAATTTCATAAGCTACCTCACTCACTAAGTAGATCTGAAAACATGAAGTCGAGCAAGAGCCCAGCTCAGAAACGAGCTGGTGCCCACGCCGTGGAGCGGCCTGTCCGGGCTTTGGGAGCTCTGTCTGCATCATCGTGCCACTGTGGTGGGTCCAGGGGCATGAGGGAAGGCAAGAGAGGAAGAGAGGGAATTGAGGATAGTGACAGAGGCCAGGGTCTCCAAGCTACATGTTTTCTAGATGAGTTCTCAGCCTTGGCACTGTTGATACTTGGACCCCTGACGTCTTGGTTGTAAGGGGCTGTCCTGTGGCTTAGAGGATGTGTAGCAGCATCCCCGTGACAACCAGATGCTTCCCAATATTTCCAAATGCCCCCCAGTAGAAAACCCCTGTTCTAGACAAGAAAGGAACATGGAGATGCTTATTAGTTAAGGGTCATCATGAACACCCCATATTTCATTTATGTTTTTGTTCTTCTGTTGCTCCTGTCCCTGCACCTTTCCTCTCAGCCTTGACTGCTGTGCTGGGGCAGGTGAGCTCCAAAGAGCAGAAATACACTCTAACTGGCCAGAGTACTAAAAAGCCCTGTTGGAAGGAGAGAAGGGCGTTTCGTGGAAGCAGCAGGCTACATGGCATAGGACTAGTGCCCTAGGCTTGGTGTCAGAAAGCCTGGGGTTTGGATCCCAGCTCTACCACTGCCGAGTGCTGTGACCTCAAGGAAGCCACGTAATCTCTCTAAGCTTCAGTTTCTTCTTCTGTTAAGTGGGTTTGGTGTAAGTAACGCTCAGACTAGTGCTGAGAAAGGGCCCAGTGCTGTGCTTGGCCCACAGTGCGGGAAGACCAGCCCCGTGGGACTTGGAGGCCATCAGCTACTCTCTGGCCTCTTGGGTTTTTTTGTTGAGTGTGTCTCTTCCAGCCTTTCATCCCAGACAAGCTTCTTTTACCCACATGTGGCACAGCCTGGCTGCCAGCCCCAGGTCTGAGAGACCTCGAAGTTCTGGCAGCCACTCTGTCTAACGTAGTTTGTGTCCCAACTTCAGAGTCACAGGCGGAGGTCCAGGTGGCCTAGCTCAAGGCAGAGTCCACTCTTGGTCCATTCTGCTGTGACCGGATCACAGGCAGAGACCCCAGGCCACACCCTGCAGGATGGAGAGGCAGCGGGCCCTGTGACAAGTCCGCTTCTGTTCCCCAGGTTGACTGTCCGCAGTTCTCTGGGGCTTCCCCTGATGACTCAGTAAAACAAGTTCTTCCTCTGCGTCTTCGTAGCATTCTACCTGAGACGTTTCTACCTGCCTTTTATGGCATTGCTTAATTCAAGGGCGTTTTTGTCTCTCAAGCATGAGCTCCTTAAGGGGAAGGAGCCCTGGGAGTGTTACTCTCTCCCTGCCCCCCGGCCCCGGCACATACTAGGCACCCCGTGGTGGTGGTGGTTGTTGATACTGAGACAATGAACTTAATTCCCAAGGTGGGCATCTTCAGAAAGTGCTCTGGATGGTGAGAGACAGTGATGGGGGGAGGGAGAATGCAGGGGCTGATGCTGAATATGTCCTCTAGGTCCCTCCCTCACCCTTAGCCCCGAGAGGCACTTCGCCATCGGATGGTCCCAGGGAAGTGATTTGCCGTCTGAAAAAGAGAGGCCGAGGCCCATCTTCCCTTAGCTTCTGCTCATCTTCCTTTCTGAGCAGTGACCTCAGCCCTGCCCTTGTGTGCCGTGATTGCTTAGCTAACGTGCAGATTCTCCTTTAGGACATCAACTTGCGGGTGAAGTGGCCCAACGACATTTATTACAGTGACCTCATGAAGATTGGTGGAGTTCTGGTTAACTCAACGCTTATGGGAGAAACGTTTTATATACTTATCGGTAAGTTTTCAAAATCTTTCCGCCAGCATTTTTAGATTAATGAAACAATAAAAATGGTTTATGCAGGCCTATACTGGTAGATGCGGATTATCACATGAGATTACTTTTTCTTTGAGTCTTGTAGTTACGGAGCACGCTGTGTATGCAGAGAGGTCCAGATCAGTTCAAAGTGCTTCAAGGGGTTTAGCATTTCCTATCTATGACCACGGAAAACTCCCAAATTGGCATCAAATCAAACGGGCATTTCCTTGCACCTTTTCACACTCCTATTTCTCCTAGAATTTGAAATGGTGAAAATAAACATTTCATGTACCATTCTGCAATAAGAAAAGAAAGTTAATTTTTTTTTGCGACAGGGTCTCACTCTGCTGCCCAGGCTAGAGTATAGTGGTCATCATTGCTCACTGCAACCTGAAAGTCCTGGGCTTAAGCAATCCTCCTGCCTCAGCCTCCCAAGTAGCTGGGACTATAGGTGTGCACCACCACCCCAGCTAATTTTTCTATTTCTTGTAGAGACAGGCTCTTGCTATCTTGCCCAGGCTGGTCTCGAACTCCTGGCCTCAAGCAATCGTCCTGCCTTGGCCTCCCAGAGTGTTGGAATTACAGGTGTGAGCCACCGTGCCCGACCAAGAAAGTTAAATTTCTAAGATAGTTCTCCTGGTTGTCTTGCATTCTTAACTCAGCCTTCCCAGGTCATGAAAGAAGAAGTTCCAGGCTGGTCAAGGTGGGGTAGAAAATCTCCGTTTCATCTCAGCACCACCAAACCAGGCGAGGAGATGTGTTCAGAGGCAATTTCAGAAGCTTATAGGCCCCTTTCTGCCCAGTGGAACCTCATTGAGTTGAGAAATCGGCAGTGGGCAGCAAACACGTGACCATGTGCTTGGAGTGCCAGCCAGAGGATACAAGGCTTATGTTTCCAGCTCTGCTAACAACTCGCAGTATTATTCTGGGCAGGCTGCTTCATACCCTCAAAGCTCTATTTCCTATCTTTAAATGAGAAATTGGAGTAGGTGCAGAGGTTCCTAAGTAGAGTCCACAGATAGCAAGGGGCCCATGGACGGCTGGCGGGAGCTAAACATTTTCCTATGGGGAGAATCCATTGCTTTTGTTAAATCCTTAAAGCCATGGGCGTGGGGGTCTTTGGGGAAAGATTCCGAGTTGCCAGCAGGGGTGCTCTCTGGTCCTTGGAAGGACACAGCCTAAGTTCATGGTAGTGTTGCTATTCTCCCCAGGAATTTTAATTTTCTGAACGCAGTTCTTTTTAGCACCATACAGTAATCTAACGCTTTACATTCAGTAGGTGCTTAAGGTATTGTGTATGTTGTTGAATGAAGGAACAAATGAACAACTGCAAATTCTGTCCTATTGTTGTAGTTACTTGTTTTTTCCAGATGTAATTTACATCGCTTTGTATTTAGTAGCCAGTATTTTTTTATAATAATCTGAGGCCAGTCAAATCCTTCCCTTTACACTGAAAATGGTAGAACATTTATCAGAGAATACTGTTATTACAAATGTCATCATTCTGTCTAAGGCGAATATTTGGGGAATGTTTTTCTTAGAGCACTGGAACCATGGTAGTCTTACTGCCCAGTTCTTGCCGTGTCCCATTTCTTAGAGCCCTCTCTGAGGCTGCTTAAGCGCCCTGCCGAACGCCGAGGTTGGGCTTCTCTGAAGGCGCTGACCTCCCCTGAGAGGAGGGTGGTGTTAAGTAACAGCACAGATAAGCCTATTCAGCCACTGCCTCTGGTTGCTCACTCTCGTGAAGCCTGGGTTTAGGCGCCTGTAAAAGAGCCACTGAACATGGGTTGGCTCCATGCCAACGGTGTAACTTTAGCACCAAAGACTTCCAAGGATAAATTATTAAAAGATGTGTTCTAGGATCATGCCATGACCAAGGTTTGAAATCTCTGAATCCTGAGTCTACTTCTTAAGTCCTCAATGCGATCCTCTGTTTTTAAGCATGTGCCCTGTTATTCAAGTAGGAAAAGAAATAAGAGAGTTTAGTCTATATTGGGCAGAGCACAGAGCTACAGTTCTTGGCTAGACCACTGGAGGTGTGATTTCAGAAGCAACACTAAGAATTTTGTCCAGTAATCACTTCTGTTTAATTAGATCGAATCAAACGTGGCTTTCTTTTTTCCAACTTCTTATTTGCAGTAAAGTTGAGATGGTCCCAGCTTGAACAAGAATAATAAAGGAAGGACGAAAAGGAAGATGGTGCGAAAGATATACGTCACTGTCTAAGTAGCCAGAGACAATAAATCTGAAATGAGGACAAGGAAAGCAGGAGATTGACAGTAAAAACTATAACTTTTCCAGTTGGTGGCGAGCAATGGGTGATGCCACCTATCTGGGGAGATGCTCATTTTTTCAATTGTTTGTTTTTGTCCAGGCTGTGGGTTTAATGTGACTAACAGTAACCCTACCATATGTATCAATGACCTTGTTGCCGAGTACAACAAGCAACACAAGGCAGAACTGAAGCCCTTAAGAGCCGATTATCTCATCGCTAGAGCCGTGACCACGCTGGAGAAACTGATCGACACCTTTCAGGACCAAGGGCCCAGCGGCGTTCTTCCCCTTTATTATAAATATTGGGTACACAGGTCAGTGCTGGCTCAGCTTCATTCTTTTAAAATTCCTTTATTAAGTCAGTAGTTCAGTATCTTAAAATGAGGGACAGAGCACTGGGGTCTGAGTAATTATTTTTACCTCTCTGATGGAGAAACCTGGTGGACACCACCTTGACCAAGTTAGCTTTGCCAACAATGGGCAGCATCTCGTGCCTCCTGGTGGGATGCGGTGGGAAGGACGCAGCATCACCAGAGAGCTTAGCATCAGTTTAATTGTGAGGAAACAATCAGACAACATCTAAATCGTGGAACATTCTAGATAACTGTGGTTCTCCAAGTGAGATCCCCAGGCACCACCCTATCTGGGGCCACTAAGTCAAAAAGTCTGGGACTGGGGCCCAGTACTCTGTGTCTTAACAAATGCTGCAGGAATTCTCATGCAGCTCAAGTTTGAGAACCCATGTTGTATAACAGCAAGACTGCACCCTCCAAAAATGTCAGTGTCTGCAAACAAACAAAAAGGTGATGGGAGAGTTGTTTGGGATTAAAGAAGACTAGAGAGGCATGACAACTAAATGTAATGTGTGACCCATAATTAGATTCTGGAGAAATGGCCACAGAGGATATTGATGGAACAATGGACTGTATGTTAGACCGTGTTATTATGCCAAGATTGGACTTCTTGAGGGTGATAATTATATTATGGTTTAATCATTCTTAGGAGATACATGCTGAAGTATTTAAGCATAAAGGGTCATGATGTTTGCAACTTAATTTTTAAATGATGCAGCAAAAATAAAGTGTATGTGTGTGTTTGTGCATGCAAAGAGAAAGCAAATCTGGAAAATGTCATCAATGTGAGGATAAGTGAAGGGAATATGGCATTTATTGTACTATTCTTTCAACTTTTCAGTAGCTTTGAAATTCTTCAAAATAAAAATTTGGGCCGGGCTCGGTGGCTCACGCCTGTAATCCTAACGCTCTGGGAGGCCAAGGGAGGCGGATTGTTTGAGCTCAGGAGTTCGAGACCAGCCTGAGCAAGAGCGAGACCCCGTCTCTACCAAAAATAGAAAGATATTAATTGGACAGCTAAAAATATATAGAAAAAAAAAATGAGCCGGGCATGGTGGCGCATGCCTGTAGTCCCAGCTACTTGGGAGGCTGAGGCAGTAGGCTTGCTTGAGCCCAGGAGTCTGAGGTTGCTGTGAGCTAGGCTGACGCCACGGCACTCACTCTAGCCCGGGCAACAAAGTGAAACTCTGTCTCAAAAATAAATAAATGAATAAATAAATAAAAATTTGGAGAGGAAATTCTATGCTTTGAAAACTGCTGAGAAGGATGTGACTTAATGGGTCCATTTGGAAAATATTCAAAAGAAGTAGATGAGAAAGAGTTTCACTTGTAGCTGATGCTACCCACCTTTATAGGAAAAACTTTTCTTATCAGCTCAGCCTCTTTTCCCCCAGTCTCAACCAAAAACCCCAGAGAGTCACACAGTGTTTGTTAAAAGTGTCGGGGGGTGAGGAAGTGAGGTGCGTAATCATCACAGATGATCAGAATTAGGAGGAGTGATGCCGTGGGAGAAAACTCCGACTCCCGGTTCACTTTGCACCCCCTGGTTATTTCAGTAGTTGTTAAAACAACTCACGCGGGACCAGAGAAAGTCAGAGCTCAGGCTGGGCCGCTCCTTAACCGTAAGTAGTCTCAGCCGTCTGCCCAGCACCCCCCAGTGTCTTCACAGGATGGGCAATTACTCAACTAACTGTCACAGCGATCAGTTGTGCGTCCCAGTGACCGCTCGCTGTTCTTCTCGCAGTGGTCAGCAGATCCATCTGGGAAGTGCGGAGGGCCCAGTGGTGTCCATAGTCGGCCTGGACGACTCTGGCTTCCTGCAGGTTCATCAGGAGGGTGGCGAGGTCGTGACTGTGCACCCCGATGGCAACTCCTTCGACATGCTGCGGAACCTCATCCTCCCCAAACGGCAGTAGCGCCCGGCGCCCTGACTCGGGGCCGGCACTTGCGCAGTGGGCGAGGACGCCACCGGGCCGCCTTGGGTCAGGGCCAAGTGCAGAACCACCTCTCGAGCATTCTGCCTCCGTCACGGCCGCCCGTCCTGGCCCATCTGGAAACCCAGTTTAGGGTGAAGGTGAAGTTTTTCTTCCACCAGTTCATTTGTTAACTCTTTAATTTTTTAATTATTTTTTTTTAAGGTTTGTTTTGTTGCTATAATTTTATTTGGTGTTTGAAGAGGCTCTGGGATAGAGGGTTGATGAGTGGAAGATTTAGCTTAGGTAAAGCCTTCCTGTAGGTGTGAAATCGCTCTCCCCTCTTGGATTTATGTTTACTGGGTTGGGGGTTTACGTGGAAGCAGCAGTGGGGTAATTCAAACATTTTCCCAGTAGTGGAGACCTTTACCGCTAGACTATTAAAAAACAAATCAAAAAATGCTCTTGGGCCCAGGCCGGTGGTGAGTTAGAGGTATGATGGTATCACTGTTTATAAGCATCTAGGGAGGGATTTACCTGTGAGAACGTACATTGGCACTTAGTCATTGTTTTATTTTGGGGTTAATGGAGAAAAGAGAAAGCAGACTTCCAAGAGCTACTCTCCACCTGGCGGTGGTGTGGTCCGCTAACAGTGTCTAAATGCCTGTAGAGATACATCTAGCTGGTACGGTTGCAGTGACTTGCAGAGGAAGTCAGTTAATTACTTTGACATTATATTATGAGCTCTCCTTTCCCGAGTTTAAATTTACTGCATATTGTGAAGAGATGGCATCAAGCTCAAGATCCTTAGAGCATTGATCAGGCATTGCCTGGACGCGGGGGTGGACGATTTGGCTCTGACAGCTGGGAGACGAAGGCTCACTCTCACACCACATGCAAGGGAGGATTTGGAGCTTTTAAGCCAGTTTCAGGTTTGCTTTGAAATGCGGAACATTCCTGCAAGACTGTGCAGTGCACAGAATGTAGAATACATGGCATTTTATTTGTAAGTCATAATCTTTCGTTCACTTTTTCCTTATACTGCCAAGAAAGAAAACATTACCAATACTCGCGTCTACGGCCATGCCGCCCTGAACGCGCCCGATCCCGTCTGACCTCAGAAAACATTACCGATGCTGAATACCATCAGTTCAGAAAGAGGATGTGTGTGTGTGCACACGTGCCTGCGTCATGTGTGTGCACACACATAGCATTAAGAGACGACAGTCAAAATCTGATGCACTAAAAGTCTCCATGGAAGAACAAAAGAAAGGAAGCCTTTTGATATACATTTGCTATTTCCAGATGTACCCCATGCTTTTTCCATGTAATTCCTATCTCTGTTGAACTTATGAATCATGCCCATTACTTTACAGCCTTAAAAGGACAATTTTTGTCTACTTTTCTCTTTTCCTGCCAGTCCCAACTGAAATCAGTGGAAAGAAAGTCTGATGGAGCTTTCAGCTTTGAACAAAATCCCTTCATTGTAAACTAGCACCATCTTTATCCAGGTCTTACCCAGTCAGGCTAATTCCAGCAACTTGTGGTTTTCAGTGTGAAATCTGTCTACCTTTAGCCAGGCACAGACAGCCCCATAGGAAGAAAAAAAAAATAACATGTTAAGTTAAATACACCAACTCAATATGTATTTTTTGGAAACGTAACTTTAAAAGAACTTAAAGTAATTTTTGCAAATAAGGCTTCAATTAGAATTATTTTTCTAAAAAATAAAATCATGCTCTCCTAAATGCCCACGTCTTCTTTGGAATTAGTGACAAGTTTAACTAAAAGTCCACACCACCCTAAAATTATTATACAAAATGGACTCACCCTTCAGAGGGCGTCTGCAAAATATCATCAGGGACAAAGATCTCCGGGCTAATGATGCAAGTTTCATTTCTCCAGCTTCGTAATATAAGGCAAGTCATCTCTCAGAGCTGCCATCGTTACTTTTTGAATGTCTTTGGGGGTTATTTAATGAAAAACATGCTATGTTTTGTTTTAAGCTGAAGTTCTATTCTGGACATTCTGCTTTGGGAAAAATGTTATTTAATTTCCTTTCTGTAAATTAAAACTAATGAAGTGTGGCCATGTCAAAGGATACGGAGATGTTCCGGGCGTCCTGCTTTGCCTCTGCGCTTCTAGCAGGCTGCTCTTGCTCGTGCGGGAGACAAATAGCCTTGAAGCAGATGCTGCATTTTCCATAAACCTGATTTTGCCTCACATGAACCAAAGACTCCTAAAATTCTGCTTCATACAGAACAGCTGAATATAAAGGCATTTTAGCTGTTGGTGTTAGGGAAACCCATCTACCTGCAATGCCTCACTCTATCACTCTAGGGTTTGGGCCGTTTGTGCACCCCGCAATCTGTGATCGCAAGGAGCTTTAAAGTCTTAGTGGAAACTTTGCATTTCTTTACGCGTAATCTTTAAAACGTGGCCACTAAACTCAGGATGGGTGTGTACTTTTAGAATATCGGATTACCCCCCAGTTAGAGGCTGTAGGTTGAGCATCTATAGTGTTTTGTAAAAGGTAAAGCAGCATTCTCCCTTCAGGGTTGGTAGCAGATTTTTGAGGGAGACTCTTGGGGACATGTCCCCTAAAATAGGACACAGCAATCACTGGGCTTCCTGTGTCCCAACCCCACCCCCAAACAGTGGCTTCGACATTGGGGATGCTGGCAGGGCATGGTGGAAGTAGGAAGGATTTGTGTCTGCAGTAAAATCGTCAGTGGGTTTCACCGCAGCACACTGAGGTCACCTGATGTGGGAGCCAGCGGCCCAGCTGAGGCGTGGGGTGGGGGGGTGCACAGGCCTGCGTAGGGGAGCCCTGGAAGGGCGCAGCCTCTGGAGGTCCCTCCACCTCTGACATATACAGCAAGGCTGCCCTCACCCTGGAGTCTGGGAACAAGGAGAAAAGCCGGCCTCACCTAACAGTTCAGAGCGCAAAAGGGGGGTGTCCTAGGCTCACAGCCCTGGGTCTGTTTGCTCCCAACAGGCAGAAAATGGAGAATCCTTATTCCTGGGTAATTACTATGCATATCTGAAATAAAGCGTAAGCCTTTGCATTTTTAGCTTTTCAAAGAATGTCTCTGAAAAGAATCACTTTAAACCAATGCCTATAAAAAGCAAGTCTACCAAAATAAACTTTAAGACTTTCTATACGGTTTGGGTTCATTCTTATTTTTTAACCACCAATTTCATTTTTAAAAATTAGCACGGGGCCGGTGGTGCAATGGATAACGCGTCTGACTACGGATCAGAAGATTCTAAAAATAGGCGACTACTTTTGGTTAGAGTATTTTTATTCATATTTAAACATGTTTTTACAAAATAAATAAAGTGTTTTACATAGTATGGAATATGGATGTATTTGTAAGTATTAAGAAGCCAAGTGTTTTTTGGTTTTTGATGTATTTTTGACAAACATATTATGCATCATACAAAAGAGAAATCTTATTACTCCAAAGAATGAAAGTTCACAAAACCCAAAAGTAAAAAACCCCTTTACTGAGGTGAGAAATAAATTTAATGTAACAACTTCTTGATTCTGTTCTTTTAGGATATTTCTTATTCTTTTGTGAAATCTACTTGACTTTTTGTCGTAACAGTTTTTCCCCCAAGATTTTAACCTTATATGTCATACTTCAGTTTAGGAACCGCTTGACTAATGCATTTTAGATAACCCGAATTCACTAAAATTTCAAGCTGCTGTAATTTTATGGCATTTATCGGAAAATGTCTTTATTCCATTTTATCTGTAGCAGCCCCCACCAGCCTACCTTAATTGTCTTACAGTTGCAATAAGTTAAAAGTTATGTAGACTTTATACAGGATCCATTGATCGTACTAAGCCTCTCTGGGGTGGAGAGGAGGAAGGCAGGGCTGATAGGACTTTTAAAAGGATAAAAGGGGTGGGGGTAGAGGGGGCAGAATATGCAGGCTCTTACAGATTTCCTCAGCACTGCCCTTCACACCCAGTGCACGTCTCTACAAAGGTATGAATGGAATGGCTTTTCTAGAAAAGGGCTTCCAAGAACATAAAGGAATTCCTTTCCCTGGGAGGCCCCATGGAGGGCCAGTCTTGAATTGGGCTTATTTCTCAAATCCATTTGATCTGGCATTTTTGTCAACATGGTACATGTTAGGGCCCACTACAACTTTTTTTCTTCTTTTTTGTGAAAGAGAGGCATATTTATTAAAATTCTTCCTTTTCCCCTGACAGAGCCTCACAGAAGTCAAGAAACGATATCCCCAGCTTAAATGTACAGCCTCTTAAAGATGGAGGCAACAATATTAGGTTGCCATAGTAACTGCTCTGTTAACCCTGCATTGAAGCCGGCTTATGTAAGAATCTTCCTTCATGTTCTAGGCTATGAAAACTGTGATGTTTGTTTAGACAAGGAAGTTTTCTCTAGTACACATTTTATTTTTCAAGTACATATACCCTCTTTGTTAAGCCTATTTACATTATCATTTGTAAATCTATAATGGGGTCTTTTTTCTCAACAGTGGCCTTTTTTATTAAACTGCTCTGATTGCGTTCATGATTTGTATTTACTAAGTACAGCCCCCAAAGTTAATAACAAGGTAGACACAAAAGCATTTTGTGGTACTTTATTGAAAAATGTTGGTGATCTCTCCTACTAATCACACCTATACCTTCCAAGAATCATGGTTTAATTACGAGACTCATGAACATAAAAAATAATACCCTAGGCTTATTTTGTGTGTACACACACTCACAAAGAGCTGTGGATGAGGTATAGCTAAGTGCGGTATGGAGGGGTGTGCGTCCCTTCTTACGATCCAGTCCCTTTGTTGCATGACACTTCCTAAATTTGCAAATTTTAAATCGTACCATAAGGCCAACCAACACCCCATAGGGAATGAGTCGGGGTCAGCAAAAGATCAGTTCACATTTTGAGAACAGTTGGTGTAGGTGCGCTTTGATTTTAGAATGATGAGTTGAAAACATTTGTGAAAACTTCTTTCCACTCAGAAAGGTTGGAAAAGGTTTCCTAAAATAAACCGTTTTTGAAAAAGCAGCAAAATAATGTAGTGTTTATAGTGTGGAGCAAGTTGAAAGATGGTTCAATGCACCCATCCAGTTCAGAGCTATGATAAGATTTTTAAATGGTGAGCTCTTTCAGCAAAAAACATAAAACAAAAATGAATGGAAGTTTATTTTTAAAACACTGCTGGTGCTTTATGAAAGGATTTTGTTTACCTGTTACATGACATGTTCATATGAAGTTTCCTTGCTATGTAGAAAATGCTTAAATGTATACATCATTTTCATTACATCCCCTTAGCACGTTTTTCGTACACAAGGTGCAGTCCATTGACAGTTTGCCATATTGCACATGCAGCTTAACTAACTTTATTAGCACTACTTGTAGCAAACACAAGCCTAGTGAATTACAGATCCGTGTGGGCCAGAGGGATTTTGCCATGTAATTAAGCTCGACAGGGTCATTCTCATAAAATCTCTGGCTATATATACTTTTTTGCATTTAATGCCTATTCAATATACTCTGAAGGTGCTATTCTTGGTGTTATCAAGAGTTCATAGGGGTTAGGGGGAAGTAAGAGCTTGTTAACGTACTTGTGAAGCACACCCACGTTCACAGACACACACGATGAAATCGCATGTTCGCCCCCTTCCTTAGTCTTGGCTTGTGTTGATTTTTGTATTGAAGAAAGGGTTAAATTAAAAAAAAATTGAGACTCATGAATGACTTTTAAAGACAGTGGCGTTGTTGTCTATTCATGGGACTTACAATAATCACATTCTGCCTTTACCCAAGAATCTAAAAGGGCTGGGGATACAGGCTTCCTCCTCCCGGGCCTGCCGTCTTCCCGGGGCCGTATCCGGGTGGGCTTCCCTCCGCAGAGGACAGGATATTTGCGGAGTTGAAACTCCTTAAACCCCCCAGTGAGACTTATCGAGAATGGGGACAAGGTAAGATGCGTTCAGCCTGATTTCAATGTGAGGAAACCAAGTCCCCCCAACGACGGGGTAGTCTGAGGTCACACGTGGGACGTCGGGGACGCTCGGCACTGGTTTTCAGAAAACCCAGCTCTTGGGAGAACACGGGCCGGGC